GGAGTGAAGTGTTTAATGTAGGTTTTTTGAGCAGTGGGGTTACCCCGAGGCTGCTTGAATGCGGTGGGGAAAATGCCTGTGTGAAGAGGTGTGTTGTTGATATGTGTGTGTGCTGGTAAAAGTGTAGGGGTAGGTGTGAGGGGATTGGGTTTAGAGGGCAGGTTGTAGGATGGCTGGAGAGGAGATGAATCATCAGTGACCGACAGTAATGCAGTCTCGGTTGAATGGCGGCTTCTGAAACCTGACTGGTTAACCTCCAGTTGGTTATTCTGTTAAAGAAATAATGACATCTGGTTGAAAACAACTCGTTCAAGTGTTCACTATTAATGGAAGGAGTGAAGGGGTTAATGTAGGTTTGGCATCCATAAACGGGACACAGAGAGTTTCTGACGGGTGCTTCTTTCTTTATTTCGCTCGTGAAGAGCGCCATTAAACTCTAGTTTGCGTAGCACCGTGAAACTACACAAAGAAACAACAAAACCAATAAATACAACTCATATACAGAAAAATACGATAAATAAAGTTCACAGGGCAGGTTGTAGGATGGCTGGAGAGGAGAAGTTTCGATACCTCTGCCTCAGTGAGGAAACAGAGGGGAGTTTTAGCAGAGGATGTGGTTGGTTTGAGTTCCTGTGTACGTGGAGCTGAGAACTGACTGCTGATGGTTTTAGGGATGACAATGTCGAGTTGCACTAAACAGTTTAAACTTACGATCTTAAACTTACATTACATTGTTACATTACATTTCTGAAACTTATATTATGCATCGGGCTTGTTCAAGTCCTTGGTGGTACAAATGCATGCGCATAGTAACAGCATCTCATTCGTCAGACTGGTAATCCTCAGAAAACTTTGACAGCTTTAAACAGGCTCAATCAGTTCTTTTTGAATCAGACATGACCAAAATGCTGACTTTTGACTCTGCCTGTTGGTTTATAAACTTATAAGAGCCACGAGTGTAGAACTTGTTCATTTCCAAGCTGAACACGCAGTGCTGTTTGGGGTTTTTGTTCTTTTATGGCAGTGAAAGAGGAGGGATACAGATGTAGAGAAAGTTTCTGATCCAAGTTATCAGTAGATGGCAGTAATGCAGTAAAAAGAAAGAAGTGGGTCTCTGGCTCCTGGCAGGCACACTGGGTCACAATGCAGGCACAGTGTTGTCATTGATAAATTGATGAAATCTGATTTCTTCAAATGTCACTCAAAATACTTCTAATGAAGAAATAGAATTGCAACTGAAAAACAAATATGTTACTAATAAGTTGTTTTAGTAACATCACATAAAATACACAGAAACAAATATCTGTGGGTTTAAACATTTTATTCAGTACCAAAATTTCAGTAGTCGGCACTAACACCAGTAAAATTTCCAGATTTTTGGTACCATAGCAAAAACTATGGAGTGGTGCAGGGATGACGTCAAAAGGGAAGACTAATTCATCATCCCTCAAGATTTTCCTATGGGGTTTTTCAATTTATAAGCATTGTATTTATTGTAATAAGTAACTACATAAGAACATTTGGGGTGTGAGTGTGTGCAGTTTATGTTGTAGAACAAAACGTCAATTTATTGTCAAATTATGATTACCACAGACCTTATTTTACTCTTAAATTGAAAAACCCCATAGGAAAACCTAGAGGAAACCCATAGCAAATTTTTGACATAATCCCTGCACCACTTCACCGGAACTATATTTAACTATTTTATTAAACTATTTGAAAGAAAAATGTATATACAGTGGGTACGGAAAGTATTCAGACCCCCTTAAATTTTTCACTCTTTGTTATATTGCAGCCATTTGCTAAAATCATTTAAGTTAATTTTTTTTCCTCATTAATGTACACACAGCACCCCATATTGACAGAAAAACACAGAATTGTTGACATTTTTGCAGATTTATTAAAAAAGAAAAACTGAAATATCAAATGGTCCTAAGTATTCAGACCCTCTGCTCAGTATTTAGTAGAAGCACCCATTTGATCTAATACAGCCATGAGTCTTATTGGGAAAGATGCAACAAGTTTTTCACACATGGATTTGGGGATCCTCTGCCATTCCCTCTTGCAGATCCACTCCAGTTCTGTCAGGTTGGATGGTAAACGTTGGTGGACAGCCATTTTTAGGTCTCTCCAGAGATGCTCAATTGGGTTTAAGTCAGGGCTCTGGCTGGGCCATTCAAGAACAGTCACAGAGTTGTTGAGAAGCCACTCCTTCGTTATTTTAGCTGTGTGCTTAGGGTCATTGTCTTGTTGGAAGGTAAACCTTAGTTCCAGTCTGAGGTCCTGAGCACTCTGGAGAAGGTTTTAGTCCAGGATATCCCTGTACTTGGCCGCATTCATCTTTCCCTCGATTGCAACCAGTCGTCCTGTCCCTGCAGCTGAAAAACACCCCCACAGCATGATGCTGCCACCACCATGCTTCACTGTTGGGACTGTATTGGACAGGTGATGAGCAGTGCCTGGTTTTCTCCACACATACCGCTTAGAATTAAGGCCAAAAAGTTCTATCTTAGTCTCATCAGACCAGAGAATCTTATTTCTCACCATCTCGGAGTCCTTCAGGTGTTTTTTAGCAAACTCCATGCAGGCTTTCATGTGTCTTGCACTGAGGAGAGGCTTCCGTCAGGCCACTCTGCCATAAAGCCCCGACTGGTGGAGGGCTGCAGTGATGGTTGACTTTCTACAACTTTCTCCCATCTCCCGACTGCATCTCTGGAGCTCAGCCACAGTGATCTTTGGGTTCTTCTTTACCTCTCTCACCAAGGCTCTTCTCCCCCGATAGCTCAGTTTGGCCGGACGGCCAGCTCTAGGAAGGGTTCTGGTCATCCCAAACGTCTTCCATTTAAGGATTATGGAGGCCACCGTGCTCTTAGGAACCTTAAGTGCAGCAGAAATTTTTTTGTTTATTATCATCATTAATAATTAGATTATTTTATTTAATATATATATATATATATATATATATTAAATAAAATGATCTAATTATTAATGATGATAATAATAATTATAAGTAAATAAGATATTGAAACAGCATGTAGCCTTCAAATATTTGTAAATTCCTTTAAAAAAGTCCAGTGAAAAGCAAGTAATATAATAAAGAACAAGGTAACACATTACATAAAACAAGTGGAAAGTCTATTAGGGTGCTTTCGCACTTGGTTCGATTGCCTGGTCCGAATTCGATTGTGTTCACACGGTAATTTTTGGTTCCGAACCACGGAACGTTTGCATCAGAGTCACAGCCGTTTGCCCCTGTTGCTAGGTAACGACTATGCAGAAGATGGCAAAATGAATGGACGCTTCATTTTAGTACTACGGATTTTGAAAATTTATATTAGTCTCAAAAGCGCCAAGACAGAACGGCACATGCGTCCATTTGTCACGAATGTAATGCAAAGGGTTCAAAAGAACACGGGAATCAATTTCTTCAACCAAAAATGAAATATAAATTCTCTCTGCTCACAGCAAGTCAGTCAGGCTTATGAGGAAAGCAAGTGAGTTAACACACAAATACACAGTTTGACCAATTCATACGTTATTAATAGCGGCTCACTTCAGTGACCTAGTACAATTGCATTCACATCAGATGCGAACCGTACCAGAGTTTGCATGAACCATACCCTAGAGCATCCTTTTTAGGCAGACTCGGGTACAGTTTGCGAGTACACACTTGAGTTCAGTGTTCACATTATCCAAAACAAAACCAAAAGTGCTAGTGTGAAAGCCCCCTTAGTCTGCATTTACACTCCAAGATATGATGCACTGATCTATTTTGACATACAGTATCAGATTGTTTTGTCCCGTTCATTGCTATGGTTATCACTATGACAGTCATTGCGGTTTCAGATTCAATCTCACAAATAAATACTTTTGTCACTCCTGAAACTTTGCAGTGTGTACTTAGCGGCATGCTAAAATACATATTTTATTCAAATTGTGGATAGGTTATAAAGAGCACTACCTTTATAATCACTAAAGCTGTCAATCGCTACAGTTTTGAGCACAAGTTCATGGAGTTCTGCACTCGAAAGAAAACTCCTGTTATAATAAGTGAAGCTGCCTACACTGCACAACGAATCTCTTATTTTCATTGTCTATATACTTTATAATGAAAGGATACACGAGTGTGTGAAACAAAAACAATGGCATTTTGAGCAATGTTAAGCAGATTCGGACTTAACTTGTGATTGGCATGTGTGTGATTGGCAAGTGCGTTCACACGTTCAACAGACATGTCTGTGATTGGCTACAATTCTCAATGCTTCAAAAACTCGTAAATAGGAACACTGGATTCTTTTCACAGAGTGCTCACACAGATACTGAATGCACAGGGGTGTTTAAAAGCAGCCGCCTATCAGTGGGTACTGAACTGACCCGGTACATTTTTAAAATGTCAGTACTGACTTGGTACTGAAGTACCAATACGTTTGACAATACTAGTCAAAACTTTGACAGTTACTTGAACCAGCTCTTTCTGGTCTTGTGTGCTGCTTTGGCTGTGCACCTTGCATCACCACCCTGGATCTAAGGTTAGAATTTGTAAACAAGCTCGACCAGTTCCTCACTGCAGATTAGCTCAAAATAACAATTTCTTCAAGAATCGGACATCACAAGTATCTGGTGTCAGATCTCCCCCAATGGAGTCTCTTTGAGGAATGTGTTGCCAAACCTTTTGGCCAACATCAAAAAGAGGATAAAAGTTGGCAATGGCCTGTGGGAGACCAGATTTCTTGGAGCCTGTTTGGGCCTTTCCTTTAATGTTACAGTTTGGTCCCTTTGTTTGGG